GCAGTTTCTCCCGTACAACTTACGAAAAAGGCTATTTTTTAAAGTTGTTAAGATATAAAAACCCAAAAAATTTATATTGAAAAAAAAATTTTTTTTTCTCTTATCTCACAACTTAATTACCAGAGCAACTAAGTCCCAGAGCGTAATCACTACATTTTTTAATCGCCACAAAAATACAAATACATTTTCTACTTATTTAAAAATCTGTAAGATTTAAGAGATTCTGTAAGGGTACAACGAAAAGCTAAATACCTCGTAATGAATTGTATATTTGTCGATTTTGACGCTGCTGTTCTAATCTCCAACTTTGAGCTTATTTATTGCTATTACTATTAACTTTTTCAAGATAAAAACTGTACTAAAACCGTCTAGGAAGTGTCAAGAATCGGTATGCAAAGTTTCAGCATAATTGATTCAGTAGTTTTCGCGGTTAGCGATTACAACGGTTTTAGCGGCTTTGCTTTATATATTAGTAAGATAACGTTATGTTAGTAAATGAAAGATTTTAATTTTTCTTATAAACTAAATATTAGTTAGGTTATTGAAAAATAAGATGTTTAAAATATATCTATAATAATGCGCATACAAATGCTTATAATTTTGCAGATTACAATTTATTATGAAATTTAAAAAGCCTCCTCGAATAAGAATATTTATTAAATTTTTAGGAGTTAAGTCTAACTGTGTACATGTATCGGTGAGGTATGTTAATTACTGAACCGCGAATAATTGGTTAGCTTTTAATTTATTAATAATTGGAATGGTTTAAGCAGTTGAGGCGCTTAGAATTGTGGCTTGTGTAATGGTTGGAGAGGATGGGGTATTTCCTTGGTTTTTTAATGTTCCCTGCCCTGGTAACATGGGAGTGTATATAATTGGTGGGTAGTATTGGATCTATTCTTGCATCGTTAATCTTTCTTGTTGAATTGATGTTGGATTCTGATGAGGATTTTGTAAAAATTGGGATTCTTCATCCTCTCGGAGAAACTGAGTTTCATTTCCAGGTCTGCGACGGTTATTATTAGTTCTTTCACCGAAAAAAAGTAGCAAATTTGTTAAGCTATTTTATGTAGCTCCGAGCATTCGTACAGACCATCCATAAGTTTGATATAGTAGATAACTAATTATCATCGCTTCTGCTAACGTTTTCACAAATTGAAATAGGATGTATAATGCTACGAAACCGGCACTTGCATTTCCGAAATCAGTTAATCCATCCCAGATTCGCTTCCATGTCGAATTGGCTAGCTTCCTGAGAGATTCTTTGTTTAATAGTTTCAATATAGAGCTTTTTTGTGACTGGATGATTGGCCATGCATATAATGAGCTAGGTCGTTGAGGAGTGAATTTTGCTCAATCGAGAACATTATGCGATTTCTCAATTTTTACAAGTCGCTTGCTAGTTGCGAAGTTAGACGGCTTGACGTAGTGCCATGTAGCCTGTGTCATGATTTTTGAAGTCTTGGGCGGTTCCACTTTTATTGGAGTACCTGATACTTGATACCACTTATCGTTAATCTTATATAGTTGTGGAAAAATATGGTCACTTGTAATTTTCACCCCATATCTTTTTAATATGCGTGTTTAAGGTGTCAGGAACATTGTGGTTCCGTTGTTGTTCACTGAGAGTTCGGCGTAGCATTCTTCAGTTCTTGTTAATGCTACTTCTATTAAAATACACTCAATTATATGTATGGCTTCGCTAGTAATTATGGCCATATATCCGGGTCCCTTCATAACATTGTAAGCAAATTGATCTGGAGATTTATCAGCTATAGCTAAAGCGTTTTGCAGCGCAATGCGCTCTACTCTGCAACGCTGTGTCAAGATCTCTTTATATATAGATTTGACTTATGATCAAAGATGTTTTTCTACGTAGATAAATTTGGAGTTTATATATGCAAATAAATCAATATTATCAGAGTTCTCCATATTATTATTGGCAAAAGATTAGCCTTTTTCTGTTTCAAAGATTAGAAGTTTTGTGTGTTCTGTTCTGATTATGTTGTACCCGCAAATATTATACCTTTCCTTCACTGTCAAGGCTAAGGTTACGTCGTCTGACTTGAACGAATGTATTATTTCCTCTGTAGGTTTTTCTATATCTACTAATCGGTCAGCAATACCTTCGAATAAAACGTTGTATAATTCAAAGTTGCAAGATGATCACGGTAGTACATCCCAATAGGTGTTGCTACTGTCTTGGTCAATACAGTTGCCAGAACTAAAAGAGCACTGAACTCCAGAGGGTAGTATTATTTTATCTTCAAGCAAATTTAAACAAGCATAAAACTCTTGTAATTTTACTTAGAGGGCGCCAACTACAGTGATATCACTCTATGACCCGTAGCGATCTGCGTTAGTGTGCTCCGCTGCATTTTCTTTTAGAGTTTACAGAACCTGCAAAGGTTACAGCGGCACTTATTGATCTATTGACTGCAACACTATTTACGATCAGTAGGTCACGCTGATATATGCCAGTATTGTACATTTTCATGCATTCATCACGATTAACATTATCGATGAGGTTGGCTACACCGTTATGCACTATAGAGCTGTATGCATGCATTCCGCAATAATTGTATGTACAAAATTA